AAGGATCAAGGCCCTCTTGAGTCAATTGCCTAGAGGGACGTATCCTTCTCTAGAACAACTGATCAAGGCGTTCTGAACTAGAATCCCTCTATCAAATGAGGTTCTCAATCGATACAAAGCATTGAATCGACCCTCGACTAAAGAAATTGATCCAATACTATCAATCTATGATGCTCTATTGACCTAATCAGGTATTCGCTCTCATAGGATCAAAGCAGAATCAATAATCTCGACTAAAGCAGAATTGAATCATGAAACATGCATAGATTGAATATGAACTCAAGATTATCAAGTAGGAGTACTCATACAATCATCCAATCAAACAAACATAGCTAGGGTTACTCAAAACCTAAGTGAAGGGAAGTTACTCCATAGAAAAGAGAGAGACTGCAGTAAGAATCTTCAGATGATCAGTCTTCAAGTCCGGGCTTGTTCCTCGAGCTTCCAATGCAAAAAAAACCCTCCAATTCCACTCCAAGAATGCCCTCAAATCGCCCTCTCTCTCTCTTTGGTTCGTCCCTTGGGTGTTTTGGGATCCAAAACCCAGGTCCCCCCTTTGCAAAAATGCACAAAACAGGCTTTTAACAGCCTACATTCGCGATCCCCAGTCCGAATCCCCGATCGGGTATTTCGGGTGCCCGGCCGGGGATTTCGAAACGCAGCGCAGCGGTACAGGGGATAATACCCGATCGGGTATTTTTTCTCTATGGTCGGGACCCCTTCTTCCTTCTGGGCGTCCAAAACTGCTTTTCCCCGGCCTCGCCTTGCATTTTACCCGGCCGGGTATTATTACTCATGGCCAGGTATTTTGCTCCTCCAACACCCTTCTACTCCAACGTCCTCCTTTTGACCCGAAACTCGTTTCCTCGCCTTCACGTCAACGCCAAGTCCTGAAATATGATATAAACACACAACCTAGCGTGAAATCGTCTTAAAACACGTGAATCGACTCTCAACCGGCTCAAGAATGGAGGTATAAACATGTGTAATTATTGGTCTATGAAATTCCTCCACTCTTAACCGTTTGCTTGTCCCCAAGCAAACCTAACTCAAACCAATGCAGCTCTCCAGAGCTCTATAGCAACAAACAACCCCGATCGTCGGTAGAGGATTTCCTAGATCATATAGAAGTTTACGAGGTCAACTGGTCTTCTAAGACGTCCCCTATCTCTCTCAATGCGAGTACTAGACTCAAGCCAGGATCATGAGAAGAAGTGGAAGTAATACAACCAGTTCATGGGTAAAGGGACTCACACCATTCACAACCAAGGGCTCATTGTACCGGGGTGCTCATTCACTTCATTTCACCGTTGGAACCCCTTTTTCACTTTCATTTTTCATTTTTTTCATTTTTTTTCTTCACATGGCGGGGGTTCCAACTGCACTCTTTTGTACGGTCGACCCTTATTAGTCGAGCAAGAGCAATTTCTGTACATCTGGCACTCGCCAGAGTACTTCTTTTAAATCCTTTACCTCAACTTGTGTGGAGGGTCAATGAAATTAAGGGGGGTCGGAAGCTCTATCCGTGCCCTTAAAAACACATCCTCGAGTAGACAAATCGTTCAACGGGTGAAAATTTTACTTGTGCTAGAGACAACTTAGCTTCACCTTGTAGGAGTACCCACTAAGGATCACTAAAATCTCTTCCAAAACCCGATTTTGTGCAATGAACGGTACCACACACGTTGGGCTTACCCCATGTTTAAGATTTCAATGATTTCGACATGGAGGACCAACTGCTTTTCATTTCCCACATGAGCACCCTATTCGATACAAGAGTCCACAACACAATTCAAAAGGTGTCACCATTACCACATGAATTCAACGGTCTTAACTCCACTACTTCACAAAATCAACCGACACAACAGAGAGTTAGATAGGAAAAATCTTATACTTCAACATCCTCCATAGTGCTACACTACCTCCCTAGGTTGCACATTACTATAGAGACTGTCAATTCAAAGCATACTGAGTAGGCAATTTGCAAGGAATACGTACTTGGAGCCCTCAAATCAAAATTTGGACAGTGGACTAGGCTCCAAGCACACAAACACAGCCAAACATTCACACGCATACATAATCGAACATCCCCCCACACTTAAGCACGACATTGTCCTCAATGGAGGAAAGATAAGGAAGGTAGAACGAAGTTACCAGATCAAGGGTGAATGATGGTGGACGGGGCAGGCAGTGCATTCCAGGAGGAGAGAGTAGTTGGAACACAAACACCATACAAAATCTCACAAAGGTTGAGTTATTGACTCTAAAATCAAAGAACAAAACTGACTCTGCCGAAGAGAAATAGAGAAAGAAATGCAAACCGACTAGTTGGGTTGCCTCCCAACAAGTGCTTATTTCACGTCATGAGCTAGACGATGGCTCCTAAGTTTCGGTCCACCCCAGAACCTCTTTAAAGTTGAGGTTCTCGTTGATGAGGTGGAGTCTCAAGTCACGAACATGTGGTATGACAGGTGATGGAAGCTCGTGCACTTGATGCAGATGAAGTCTCCACCCTCGAGACCTCTTCTTCTGTTCTCTCATCTCATTGCCCCAAACTAGATATGACAACATCGATTGGCCACCATCACGTCCACCAAGAGGGATCGATGTCGATGTGGCCTTGGTCTGGCAAAGAGACACTACAAATGGGTCCTTGCTAAGCAGTTCCTTGAAGTTTGGCGGGATATTACTTGCAACATAAGGCCCCTGCAAGCCTCTTCCACCTCAACTTTGTCCCCGTCCTGGACGCCAATTGCTTCTTCAACCCCCCTTCCTTCTTCATGTGGTATCACCCTTGGGAAAAGATCAAGAACTCCTTCTGCTTTACTTTCGTCATCCTCCACAACTTCTTTCTGCACCCTTTCTTGCTCTTCTTCTTCCAGCACAGATTGGAGGGCAAGTCGCCAAGCAACTTCTTTGATGAGATTATCTTGAATCTCCTCTCTCATGCCCGCCTCTTCAAACCTCAGTGTGGGATGTGGGAAGGTTTGGTCGGCTACGACAGGACATTCCTGATCATGATCATCACGGGAGCTCTCCGTGACAACTTCTGTCTACTCCACAATGTCTTCATAGCCTTCATCTTCCTCCTCCTCTTCTAGTATAGTAGCAGAAGGGTGATCTTGAGCAGGCTGTGCATAAGATTTCTCAAGATCATCGATGCTCTTCTTAATGCTCAGGAGGATCTCCTCTTTTTCACGATAGGCCAAGGTATAAAGATAAATCTTGGAGCATGATCTCTCAGTGTCTCGAGCAAACTGCTCCATGAGAAGCCTCAATTCATAGTTTGGATCTAGCTGTGGAGTGTAGCATGGCTCTGCAGAATGGCCCGTGAAGGCCGCCATGGCTAACTCCAGTTCTGATGGCCCTTCTAGTTGTGGGAGAAATTCTTCTTCATAAGGAGGTTGTTCTTGATATGCCCAGGGGTCTGATTGTTCTCCGTGGTAAGGGGGTTGGTACTGGAACCCGAATACATAGTCTTCTCCTCCTTGATTGCTCCAGGGAGTCTCGGGGTTATACCACTCGGACGGTGGTTGATACCCACCATGGTTGGAGAAGCCATGAGGATCCATGATTCAGATCTGCACCAACAAAAAAAACCAAGTGAAAAGCAAGGGTGGAAAAGAAAAGAAAAACGCTAAAGTAACAAACTGCTGTCTTTCCTAATAATCTAGAAAGTCCCGGGCAACGGCGCCAAAAACTTGACTCGCTATGACACAACTCCTAACAATGGCCAAGTGTAACCAATGAAAGGAACTACAGTATAGTGGCTCAAGTGATAAATATCGAATCCACGAGTCACTAGAGTTATTATTACTCAGCTTCAGTTCATTATCTAGCAAACAACATTAAGATGGAAGAACTAAAACTACTCTAACAAACTACAATTAAAAGTTAATCTAATTACAGGTTGGGAACTCACTTAGGTACAATTTCCCCTAGCCACTAGCCAGATTAATGATTGATGATCTCTAACCTGTTTCACTTACATTCACAATGCGGAGAATCCTTGACTAGACATTGAATCTCGGCTAAAGGATCAAGGCCATCTTGAGTCGATTGCCTAGAGGAACGTATCCTTCTCTAGAACAACCGATCAATGCATTCTGAACAAGACTCCCACTATCGAATGAGGTTCTCAATAGATACAAAGCATTGAATCGACCCTCGACTAAAGCAATCAATCCAATACTATCAATCTATGGTGCTATATTGACCTAATCAGGTATTCGCTCTCATAGGATCAAAGTAGAATCAATAATCTCGACTAAAGCACAATTGAATCATGAAACATGCATATATTGAATATGAACTCAAGATTATCAAGTAGGAAACAAACATAGCTAGGGTTCCTCAACATCTAAGTGAAGGGAAGTTACTCCATAGAGAAGAGAGAGAATGCAGTAAGAATCTTCAGATGATCAGTCTTCAAGTCTGGGCTTGTTCCTCGAGTTTCCAAGGCGAAGAAATCCTCCAATTCCACTCCAAGAATGCCCTCAAATTGCCCTCTCTCTTTGGTTCGTCCCTTGGGTGTTTTGGGATCCAAAACCTTGCTCCCCCCTTTGCAAAAACGCACAAAACAGGCTTTTAACAGCCTGTGTTCGCGATCCCCTGTCATAATCCCTGGTCGGGTATTGCGGGTGCCCAGCCGAGAATTTTGAAATGCAGCGCAGCGGTACAGGGGATAATACCCGATCAAGGTCAAGAATACATGATCGGGTATTTTTGCTCTCTGGCCGAGACCCCTTCTGCCTTCTGGGCGTCCAAAACTGCTTTTTCCCGGCCTCGCCTTGCATTTTACCCGGCTGGGTATTAGTACTCATGGCCGGGTATTTTGCTCCTCCAGCACCCTTCTACTCCAACGTCCTCCTTTTGACCCGAAACTCGTTTACTCGCCTTCACGTCAATGCCAAGTCCTGAAATATGACATAAACACACAACCTAGCGTGAAATCGGCTTAAAACACGAGAATCGACTCTCAACCGGCTCAAGAATGGATGTATAAACATGTGTAATTATTGGTCTATCATATACGATGGTAGAGATGCCAAGAAGGATTCTTGGCGCTAGCGATAGTGTAGTCATTTTCCATCTAGAGAGACGGGCCTCGATCTTATCAATCAATTTGATGAAAGTGAGCTTCGAGACTCGATCGTGGATCACCGGGATCCCTAGGTAGCGCCCAAGATTTTTGGTCTCGGGGATGTCCAAACTGGAGCTGATCTCGGCCACCACGGAAGAGGCAACATTTTTGGAAAAGAGACCCGAGACTTAGGCTTGCTTATTTGTTGTCCCGAGGCAGCACCAAAGTCTTCCACAGTTTTGTTGATCACCGATACCTGTGCTATTGAAGCCACTCCAAAAAGGATTATGTCATCCGCAAAGAAAATATGGGAGAGATCCGGACCTGACTGAGATTGTTGGATCGGTTGCCATTGGTCATGGGTGACTGCCTCGTGGATGAGGTGACCCAACCTCTCCATGCACAACGTGAAGAGATAGGGTGATAGAGGGCAGCCTTGACGTAGAACTCGCGTTGGAGTGAACTCATCGGTCAGTCCTCCATTCCATTGGATTCTCATCCTACTGGTGGTAATGCATTCCATCGCTAGATCCACAAAACTAATCGGTGCTCTCGCCGCTTGTAGTGTGTCTCGCACGAAGCTCCACCTTATGCGGTCATAGGCCTTGGCCAAATCAATTTTAAAGATCATCCATCCAGTACGACCCATTTTGGCTCGCATCGAGTGTACAACCTCCTGCAAGATACAAACATTGTCAGTAATGTGTCTTCCAGGTACGAAACTAGTCTGGGTCTCGTGAACCAATTTCGGCATGAGAGGCTTGATCCGATAAGCAAGGCACTTCGTAATAAGCTTGTACCCCACGTTACAGATGCTTATTGGGCGGAAGTGCTGAATGAGAGAAGGGCTCATCACTTTCGGAATCAACACAAGAGTCGCCTGGTTCAGGATATGGATCTTCGACGGGTCACTCCAACAGCTCGCTGCAAAATTGAGGACGTCGGGTCCTACAAGTGACCAAAACCTTTGGTAGAACAACGGATTTAACCCATCCACCCCCGGAGCCTTGAATGGTCCCATCGCTCGAATAGCTTCATGAAGTACATCAATGGAGAAATTCTTATCTAGGTTTTTCCAATCTGTAGTGGGGAGAGTTGGAAAACCATGTAGAATGGTAATCATTGCCACCCCATCATCTGTATAGAGAGCCACATAGAAATCTCGTGTCGTTCCTTTTAATTCGTCCGGATCGTCGGTCCATTCTTCATTGCTGTTGCGGAGTGAGCTGATCTGATTCCTCCTACGTCTGCGCATGACTCGGGCATGAAAATATTTAGTGTTCCGGTCTCCCGAAGTGTTCCATTCCATATTCGATTTATGGCACCAAAGAATCTCCTCTTGGAGGAGTACTTCCTCTAGTTCAGCTCGCAACTTGGTGAGCCGCCAATTTTCAGCGTCCCCGTTCATTCGTTGCTCCAGTCTCTCAATTCCTTGTAGTAGCTTCTCCTTACGTTGGTGAATATTTCCAAAGGTATGCTGGTTCCAATGCCTGGCATCCTTAGCAAAAGCCGCAATACGAGTGAGGAGATCCGACCCTTTCTGCCATGCCGCTTCAGTCATGCCCCCAAACCCTTCGTGAGAGAGCCAGGCAGCAATGAATTTGAACGGTTTTGGTCCTGGAGCTTGTTAAGTCGGATTGAGCTTGATTAACAGTGGCCGGTGATCGGATCTAACTTGTGGGAGATGGCACACCGTCGTTTCTGGGAATGCTGTCAACCATGCATAGTTTGCAAGGCCTAGGACAAGAAATAAAATAATGAAAAATATTAAATGTAATGGCAATATGCCTGGTAAGATTGTACAAATGACCTATTTAATAATGATGCATCTGTAACACCACGGTATTTTAGATTTAGGTTCGACCTAAATATATGATCGGTTGGGTTGACGGTTAAGGACTAAGAATAATAACCGCGGATTAGGAATAGTAATAATAACTATTATTATTATTACTATAAAAAAAACATATATGGGCGCCACAGAGGGCCGCCGACCCTCCTTTCACAAAACCCTTCCCCATCTCAATAAAATTTCCCCAATTTTATTCCCCAAACCTAAAAGCGAGAGCAACATCAGGAATGAGTCCTCCAGCCGCACAAAATATTTTCCCCCAACCCACGTTGCTCCAGCTTTGCCCCATCAATTGTTATTCCCATGACCCATCCCGAGCGAAGAAGAGACTAGCAGCAGTTGGTGTCGTGGGGAAAAAAAGAGGAGAAAGTAAGGAGCGCCGACACCTTGTGCCCCGATCCCGATCCCATCCCGATCGTGTTCTAGGTAAGGACCACGAACCCCTTCGCGATTTCTAAACTCGATTTATCGATAGTCTAATCCGAAGCTCGTGTTTTATTAGCGGTGACGTTGAGGGTTCGATCAACAAGGAGATCAACGTCCCGGGTCATCCAACCTAGGCCTAGGCACGTTCTAGAGGTCAGGGAACTCGATCCCTTTGAGTTAGACCGATCGATTTGGTGATTTTTCGTGAGGGTACAATTCTGAGGTTTTAGACGTACAGGCTTTTAGTGACAGATTTTGATTGGTCACTAAAGCTGATGGGAATTTCCAGAAACGTAGTTTCAGATGTTTTAAATTGTTTCCAGCCTCTCTGAAGGTTTTTTCTGAATTTAACAATTTTATAAATTGAGCGATGTCTAGGAGATTATTTTAATTTAATTTGGGGATATTTGGAGATGTATTTTCATTTTTAGAAATTGTTGGAATATTTATTTTAATTAAATAGAACTCTTTATGAGGGGTTTTTAAGGGTTTGATAATTTTCAGGGTATAGGTGCTCATGATTGAAATGGGAAAATTATTGTCCAGAATTATAAGAAGGTTCAAGTTAGGTGAAAAATTCGTCCAAGAAAAAAATAATTAAGAAAAATGGTCGTTTTTCAAGGGATTAATTCTAGAAAATTTTATTGGGGGTTAAAGGACCCTTGGAACGAGTTTCAAGGACTAGAGTTTGAGGAGAGGATGTTCTAGTGATTCAAAAGGGGTTTTAAATCGAGAAAAGTCGTCTAAGAAAATGAATTCTTATTAATAGGTTTCCTCAAGATAATCCGGCTAAGGAGGGGTTTCATCGAGGAAGGAATCGAGGAGTCTTCTTTTCGAGGTGAGTGTAAAGGGGGTAAAATCTTTGTTGTATTTGAGTAATGCGCGATATGTGTGTGAGGCATCCCACCGCCTGTAAGGGTGGAGGCACGTGTTGTGCGATGTATGAATGTTTGTGTTGTTGTATGGATTGAGGGTAAGAGGAACCCACGGGCGGTTGGGCCACTACTGGACGTGGTAGATGGTCGGGTCACTGCTGGACGGCGAGACATAACGCAGTAGTTCATCGAGTATGTTGGGTCACTACTGGACGGCGAGACGTAACGCAGTAGTTGATGGGCATGGACTGGACGGCGAGATGTAACGTAGTGCCATTGCCGAGTTTGGGTATGCAACCGGACGGCGAGACGTAACGCGGTTGGCATGCTAGGGTGGGGACACCGGACAGCGAGACGTAACGCGGTGGTCCCTTGTGTTGGTGTTTTTGGATCAGGAGTATGTGAAGGAAATTCTAAACATAAGATAGGAGTAGAGATCTCTTATAGACTGTTTATAGTAAAGTTTAAGGGATAAAAGTGAGAACGACTTTCGTCTAAGGAAGGCATTCCCCTACTAATGTGTTTAGTAAGGAGTTTGGCTAGAGCAAAGACCTTAGGAAGTAACGACGAGACTGACCCCTTCTCACTCACCAGGTTGAGGATAGTCTAGCAGAAGTGGATCATGAGAAGAAGCAGGGCGAGGCGAGCAGCAGTACCAGCGTCGTCGGGATATCGGAAAGCTCGTGAGGAGTCAAGTTAGATTAGTTACTTATTCTGTTTCATGGTTATTAGTATAAACTGGAGATTCTGTGTTAAGTTGTTTTAAGTGTTTGAGATTGAGAATTTTTCCCACGTGTTGGGGCTTTTCGTTAAAAATTCTTAAATGATGTCGGTTTGTTTATTTTAAAATGTGGTTTGGGTTGCTCCGGAGTAACCGGTTTTTGGTTTGATTTATAGTTTGGTTTTTTGAAAAGAGACGGGACGTGTCATTTTGGTATCAGAGCCGGCACTCCTCTGTTCCTTGGCCTCCAAGGAATACTGTAGTGACGATATGCGTTTTTAAGGTTTCAGTTTTTAAAAGGAAAGGAAAAAGGGAGTGACAGTTTAAGGTTTGGCCAAACGAGTCAGAGTCTTTCGAAAATTTTTAGGATCTCCAGTATACTCTAATCATGATAAGGAAATAACTTTAGGATGCCCAATGGGGTTAAGATACGTCTTGAGAAGGAGATGGAACAGGTTCCTAGAGGGATCATTTAATGAAACCCCTTCATGAGTGAGAAGAGGAGGGACAATGTAGCTCATATTCTATGGGTAGGGGTGGGATTCGGTCCGTAAACAATTTACCGTTTATCGAATTTATCGGTTTCGGTATACCGAAGTTGGCCAAACTGGTTACCGATTACCGATACCGGTTTGTAACCGGTTTACCGATTATCGAATTATCGGTAAACGGTTACAAACCGGTATTACCGAAATACCGTGAGAAGCGATTTCTGGCGGTTTTTCGGTCGGTTTACCAAATATTTACCGAACCGAATTTCTGAAAGTGGGGTAATGTTGGAATATTTTGATTTTTTTAGTTTTTTTCATCATTTTTATAATTAATAATTTATTATTAACTCTTATTTACAATATTTTTGAGGCCTATACTTACATTCATGTATGTAATATTTTATATTTTTGGGGGTAAAGCAACAAAACGCAGCGCAACACTAAGGAGTAGGGAGGGGGGATTCTGTATCGGTAATACCGATTTACCGTCTGTACTTACCGATACTGTGTCCGGTAAACCGACTCCCACAACTTCCCGCTCGGCTGCCGATACCGCTGGTAAACGATTTACCATTTACCGCCGGTTACCGGTTCGGTAAAACGGTAAACCGTTTACCGGATTACCGTTTACCACCCCTATCTATGGGGATGTGAGATGATCAGAATAAGGTTCTAGAAGGAGCCAAGCAGTTAGTACATCGACCGGTAGAGCCAAGGAGTTATGGCAAATGTCGCCATAACTCCTTGGCTGGGTGCAAGGAAGGGTCGTGGAGTTTAGGAGAATTGAACATAGAGATACAACCCCAATGAACAGCTGAAAGTTAGACTTTGAAAAATACTAGGGCTACCTAAGCAAGCAAAGGAAGAACTAAGTATATCATAGGGAGCCTAACAAGATGTCATGGGATCAATACATCAAGGCTAGAAGGAGGTCCAACTCATTGCAAAGAGATTATCACAAGTGAAACTTGGAGTCGTCACAACGAACAAATTTCGAGGTCGAAATTTTTCTTAAGGAGGGGGGAAATGTGATGTCTCGATTTTGGAATTAGGTTCAACATCAACTACCAGGAGAATTGGATCAACATGACAAGCTGAATTGGCATTTTGTTTCACCATGTTTGGATCAAGCTGGGGAGTAAAAAGGGTAGTGAGACACTTATGGTTACACGATTGCTGCAAGCTAAGGAAACTAATTTGAGCAAAAGGTACCAACGAAGTAGGTATAGTAAGAATATATGATCGTGGGAAAGAAGTATAAGAAGGGTTTTGATAGAAGGATGAGTTCCGAGCAAATTTCGGGGACGAAATTTTAACAAGGGTGTGGGAAATGTAACACCCCGGTATTTTAGATTTAGGTTCGACCTAAATACATGATTGGTTGGGTTGACGGTTAAGTACTAAGAGTTACAACCGCGGATTAGGAATAATAATAATAACTATTATTATTATTATTACTATAAAAAAAAACATATATGGGCGCCACAGAGGGCCGCCGGCCCTCCTTTCACAAAACCCTTCCCCATCTCAATACAATTTCCCCAATTTTATTCCCCAAACCTAAAAACGAGAGCAACATCAGGAATAAGTCCTCAAGCCGCACAAAATATTTTCCCCCAACCCACGTTGCTCCAGCTATGCCCCATCAATTGTTATTCCCATGACCCATCCCGAGCGAAGAAGAGACTAGCAGCAGTTGGCGTCAAGGGGGAAAAAAAAGAGGAGAAAGTAAGGAGCGCCGACACCCTGTGCTCCGATACCGATCCCATACCGATCGTGTTCTAGGTAAGGACCACGAACCCCTTCGCGATTTCTAAACTCGATTTATCGATAGTCTAATCTGAAGCTCGTGTTTTATTAGCGGTGACGTTGAGGGTTCGATCAACAAGGAGATCTACGTCCCGGGTCATCCAACCTAGGCCTAGGCACGTTCTAGAGGTAAGGGAACTCGATCCCTTTGAGTTAGATCAATCGATTTGGTTATTTTTTCGTGAGGGTACAATTCTGAGGTTTTAGCATCAGACGTTCAGGCTTTTAGTGAGAGATTTTGATTGGTCACTAAAGCTGCTGGGAATTTCCAAAAACGTATTTTTAGATTTTTTAAATTGTTTCGAGCCTCTATGAAGGTTGTTTTCTGAATTTCATAATTTTATAAATTGAGCTACGACTAGGAGATGATTGTAATTAAATTTGGGAATTTTCGGAGATGTATTTCTATTTTTAGAAAATTTTTCAATATTTTTTTAATTAAATAAAACACTTTACGAGGTGATTTTAAGGGTTTGATAATTTTCCAGGGTATAGGTGCTCATTATTGACATGGGAAAATTATTGTCCAGAATTATAAGAAGGTTCAACTTAGGTGAAAAATTCTTCCAAGATAAAAATAATTAAGAAAATGGTCGTTTTTTAAGGGATTAATTCTAGAAAACTTTATTTGGGGTTAAAGGACCCTTGGAACGAGGTTCAAGGACTGGAGTTTGAGGAGAGGATGTTCTAGTGATTCAAAAGGGGTTTTAAATCGAGAAAAGTCGTCTAAGAAAATGAATTCTTATTAATAGGTTTCATCAAGATAATCCGGCTAAAGAGGGGTTTCTTCGAGGAAGGAATCGAGGAGTCTTCTTTTCGAGGTGAGTGTAAAGGGGGTAAAATCTCTGTCGTAGGTCTTTCCGTTTATGCTTTTCGTTCAAGTTATTATTGAGTGAATTTTGAGTAATGCACGATATGTGTGTGAGGCATCCCACCGCCTGTAAGGGTGGAGGCACGCGTTGTGCTATGTATGAATGTTTGTGTTGTTGTATGTGTTGAGGGTAAGAGGAACCCCCAGGCAGTTGGGCCACTACTGGACGCGGTAGATGGTCGGGTCACTGCTGGATGGCGAGACGTAACGCAGCAGTTGATCGAGTATGTTGGGTCACTACTGGACGACGAGACGTAACGCAGTAGTTGACGGGCATGGAGTGGACGGCGAGACGTAACGCTGTGCCATTGCTGAGTTTGGGTATGCAACCGGACGGCGAGACATAACGCGGTTGGCATACTAGGGTAGGGACACCGGACAGCGAGACGTAACGCGGTGGTCCCTTGTGTTGGTGTTTTTGGATCAGGAGTATGAGAAGGAAATTCTAAAGATAAGATAGGAGTAGAGATCTCTTATAGACTGTTTATAGTAAAGTTTAAGGGATGAAAGTGAGAACGACTTTCGTCTAACGAAGGCATTCCCCTAATAATGTGTTTAGTAAGGAGTTTGGCTAGAGCAAAGACCTTAGGAAGTAACGACGAGACCGACCCCTTCTCACTCACCAGGTTGAGGATAGTCTAGCAGAAGTGGATCATGAGAAGAAGCAGGGCGAGGCGAGCAGCAGTACCAGCGTCGTCGGGATATCGGAAAGCTCGTGAGGAGTCAAGTTAGATTAGTTAATTATTCTATTTCATGGTTATTAGTATAAACTGGAGATTCTGTGTTAAGTCGTTTTAAGTGTTTGAGATTGAGAATTTTGCCCCAAGTGTTGGGGCTTTTCGTTAAAAATTCTTAAATGATGTCGGTTTGTTTATTTTAAAATGTGGTTTGGGTTGCTCCGGAGTAACCGGTTTTTGGTTTGAGTTATGGTTTGGTTTTTTGAAAAGTGACGGGACATGTCAGCATCTAAAAAGTTTTAAATAGATAATACAATTGAAAATATCCAGTTTTCAAAATGTGAACATTTTCTCAAATGTCTAGATTTGAGTAAATAATTCATTTTGTAAATGATTCATGCAAACGACCCCAAATAAATCTTGTGATGATCCATCTGAAAATTTGTAAACGGATAATACATTTGCAAAATGTATGCTTTTTTAAATGGCTACATTTTTTAAATATCTATATTGGAGTAAGTGGCTTATTTCGTAAATAATTCATGCAAACAACTCCAAATGAATTTGTCATGACGCTATCAATAATTCTTTATATTACGAGAAATGAACATCTTGGTGATTTTATAGTAGTGGTGACTCTCTCTAGCAGTAATTTTAATCGTTGGATTTAAAATCTTCGTGTCTCTTTCCTACTCAAAAATTTCTTTTTTACTTCATAGTTTTTTTCCTAGTCATCAATAGAGATAGAAAGCCGCATGCAAGTGAAGTTAGGTACAAGTGAAGGAGAGGAGAATGTCAATCACAGAGTGGCAGAATCTGAAACCAAACACATGGAGTTAACATGGAGAGTGAAATGACTGAAGTCTTCATAATAAATGAGCTTCGTCATCCCAAGAGAAATTAAAATTAAGCGGCAGAGAAACGATTGATCATGCCAATTGGGCGGGCGCAACTTGTATCTCAATATCATATATGTTTAGCACTAAGTGCGGATTATACTCATACGGGTACGAGACTAGATAGGATGGGTCGACCCATTTTTATGTTGTATTTAAAAAAATGTCGATATTTAACTCTTTTAGAATAAGACATAAAGAACACATGGTAGAATATATAAAGTTGAAAAAAAGAGTCTTGAACTTTTTTGGTATGAAATATGATTTGAGAAATGTCCGAAGATAAGAAATTCATGTAGATTTTGCTACAAATCGTGATAGAATTGATCGACAACGGAGCGGGAAACGTCAGAAGCAATACCATTGCCGCGCCTCACGCTACTGCGCAACATGTAATATATGCCCTAGATAGATTGGGGGAGATTGGGTCGCGCGGATTAGGTCAGAAATTGTCATCACTAGAGATGATGGCCAAATTGAAAAGAAGGGGAATCATATAGTACAAAATCAAAAATATAAAAGATACAAAATCCCGCGTCTTAGCACACTTCAGATACGAACCATACGACCTTGATACGATCATATCATAGATGATACAATTCGTGTCAACGGTAAGAAGCAATGTTATTAAAGTCGAACCGAGTCGTTCGGTTGGATCGGTAAAACTGGTACTCGGCCAACAGCTCGGTCGGGAACACCCAAAAAGTCGGAATGGTCAGGAAGAGTGGTCGCCGAGCGGGCAAAATGATTAGCCATTTGACCCACTCGAACCATTCGACTGGTTTTTTACTTCTGTCCGACTTCCTCTGTCGTCTCTCTCAATTACTCCTTCAGACTTTCTAGGCCTCATCACTGTTGGTGACACCTCCACACCCAACACGCTGTCGGCGACCCCTCCACACCCATCATGCTGTCAACGACACCACTTCAACGACCTCTGCCCACTGCAACTTCCTCCTTTTCTCTCGCCAACACCGGCAACTTTGCCGCTTCTCTTCATTCTGTCGCCTGCTCCTTTTCAGCTGTTATTTGGTTTGGCTCCGACGTTCTTTTGCTTCTTGCCGGTGAGATGAAAAAGGTAGATCAACGATTAAAGAAGATGACGAAGGAAAAGAAGACGAATGGGATCCGGGAGGAGAGCGGCGAGGAAACGAAACGGAAAAGAAAAGAAAGGGAAAGAGATAATGGGGAGGAAGATAGGAATTGATAGAGATTAGTGGGCGACGCTAAACTAGAATGGGTGGGGTAGGGTTCTTTCCTTGTAGATTAGGGAGGATTTCAAATATATATTGTAAAATTACAAAGTGATACTTTCAAATGAAATTTTATTTTAGTAATTAAATTATAAAATTACTTACTTATGTGTCTTTTACTTATGATATTATTGTTTATAAGATAATGATTTTTTAACAGTCTAATACCGGTTAGACCGGTAAAGTACGAGTCGTTCACATTATCGGGTTATACTCCGGTTCGGTTCTGACAACATTGATAAGAAGACACATATTTTGTAAGTTTCGTAGTCCTTGAATTTTGTATTGTAACCCGATCCCAAAAGTAACTAGCAAAAATTACAGTAGTTTCTCAAACTCAATCGAATTAATAGCTCATTAGTATGTCAATTTACTATGGAACAATCCAAGTACCACATCGAAAATACAAGGGAAGGAGACCGAAAAGTAAATTCGTACGGCCTTGGTCGAAGGCGGACAATATCGTACTAATGGAGCTATCCGATTTCAGCAAGTGGTATAAGAGCCTGGTTCGGTGCGGGGCGGTGGACGTTAGTTTGGTGGACCCTCATTTGGTGACCTCGGGATTTGAAATTCGCATTTGTTTGCTGGATCCAGGAGGGATCCATGTTAGTTTGGCGGATCAAAGAGATTTCGCGTCTGGAAAAATCCTTCTGCCGAGAAGCCCATCGATACAAGGTATCTAACAGATCAAGATAATCGTTAAGTTGACGACACGAAGTTCGTGGTCCTTGTCTTGAGTGGAGGATTGTTATGTGGCAATCCAAATACCACATCGGTAGTACAAGGGAAGAGACCCTTGTATATTAGTGTCCACCAAGTCCATTAGTATGAGGCATTTTGGGGAGGACACCCAAGAGTAAAACCGTGTGAGTTTGGCCCAAAGCGGACAATATCGTTTGGTGACCTCAGGATTTGAGATATGAGTTTATATGGAGGGTCAAGGAAGATCTGCGTTTGTTTGGTGGATACAGGAGAGATCCACGTCTATTTGGTGGATAAAGGGAGGTCCGCGTCTGTCTGGTAGATCAAAGGTGATCTACATCTGGTTTGGCGAATCAAGAGTAAAACCGTGCATGCTTGGCTCAAAGCGAACAATATCGTACGACAATACCACTTGTCGTAAATCGGGCAGCTCCATTAGTACGATATTTTCCGCTTTTGTGGACAAGGAGAGATCCATATTTGTTTGGTGGATCAAGGGAGGTCCGCATCTTTCTAGTATTTATGGTTTTGGGCCAAGGCCGGACGAATTTACTTTTGGATCTCCTTCTCAAAAAGTCTCGTATTTATGAGTTTGGTGGATACTAATATACAAGAGTTCATTTTCTTGTATTTCCTATTAGAGTAGTCAAAAGAGTTACAGGAAATACCACATTGGTGGGAGAAGGAAAGTGCAAGTGGTTTTTAAGTTTGCTTTCCACTTTAGTTTATTGGATAAAGTGGTTAGTGGGATTTTGAAAAAAGTGTGGTCTATTTAACTTGACACATTAAATCGCACTACGCACTGCTCACTTAGCACTTAGCACGACGCGTTAGGATTTGAATTTTTGGCTAATTAATCCAGATAATTATTTGATGTTTGACTTTTGTGAAACGAAGTAACCTTTCGGAAGGGAACTGTCGTTTTCACTATAAAAACCTTCTGCAACCAGATTTCTCGTCCAACGTTCATCTTCTTCTCCTCGTTTCCCTTCTCAAAAAACACAAACACAAAAGTCAGAAAGGTTGCTGCTTTCGTACTTTGGTTGAAGGGACTCCTGGGGTGGTTTGCCTAATTCCTACTAACAACAACGTAGTGGGGGCAAATAACACTCTAAGGAGAGTGATTAATCACGCCTTCAATCCGTTTCTCCCTAAAGTTTTCGTCAATCTTAGAGTGTTGTTTTCGTATGACAATGGATTCTGGAGTGGAGAGCACTTTGAAGGCGTATGCCTCTGATTCAAACAAACTCAATCGGTTTGATGGAACCAATTTCACCCGCTGGCAAGAGAAGATGAAGTTTGTGTTCACTGCTTTGAAGATCATGTACATAATGGATCCTGATTTGGTGCCGCTAGGAGAACCACAAGACACTGACTCTGATGAATTGAAGGCTGAACAAAAGAAGAGGAGTGATGACAGCCTGTTGTGCCGAGTATACATCCTCAATTCACTCTTTGATCGTCTCTACGATTTGTACTCCCAGTTGACGACCCCTATGGAGATATGGACATCTTTGGCAAACCAGTACAAATCAGAGAAACAAGGCGCAAATAAGTTTGTCACATTCCAGTTCTTTAAATTTAGCATGACTGATAAGCGTTCAATTCTGGATCAAGTTCATGAATTCCTAATCTTGGCCCCTAAGTTCACTGCGTTGAAGATAACTCTTCCTGGTGCGTTTCTGGTGGGGGCAATTATTGCGAAGTTGCCTCCATCATGGAACAACTATAGGAAGAAATTACTTCATACGTCAGAGGATTTCACTTTGGAGCAGATTCAGAAGCACCTTAGGATCGAGGAGGAAACTCGTATCCGTGACAAGGATCTGAATTCGGAGGCACCATCAAGTTCCAAAGTGAATGTTGTGGAGATTAAAGGAAATACCACATTGGTGGGGGAAGAAAAGTGCAAGTAGTTTTTAAGTTTGCTTTCCACTTTAGTTTATTGGATAAAGTGGTTAGTGGGCTTTTGGAAAAAGTGTGGGTTATTTAATTTGACATATTAAATCGCACCACTGCGCACTTAGAACTTAGCGCGACGCGTTCGGATTTGAATTTTTTGCTAATTAATTACCGGAATTATTTTAATTAATTAATCCGGATAATTGTTTGATGTTCGACTTTTGTGAAACGACGTAACCCTTCGGAAGGGAACTGCCGTTTTCACTATAAAAGCCTTCTGCAGCCAGACTTCTCGTCCAACGTTCATCTTCTTCTCCTCGTTTTCCTTCTCCAAAAACACAAACACAGAAGTCAGAAAGGTTGATGCTTTCGGACTTTGGTTGAAGGGATTCTTGGAGGTGGTTTGCCTAATTCCTACCAACAACAACGTAGTGGGAGTAAATGACACTCTAAGGAGAGTGATTAGTCACGCCTTCGATCTATTTCTCCCTAAAGTTTTCCTGACATTTCTGATATGTTACTTGATTGTACGATAACAAGGAAGAACTAACAAACTGAGGTTGGTTGTTATATGCTTGTGGATAAGCTCGAACCAGCAGGAGCGAGTTAAATTTGGCTGGAAGGGCCTGTCGATACCTTACACCTGCAGAGAAGCGATAAACGTCTGAGAAGCGATACCATATATAGCTATCTGATTACGTGACCAATTGTCTATCTACTAGAGAAGCATGCACGACTGACTTGCTGCGATGCGATGCGGTTCCTTGCTTCGATTCGTTGATGTGTTGACTTAATTTTGGACGCATGCAGAAGTTAAAGATTTAGGGCCGTTTAGTATTAGTTTAATTTTGTTTTTGTAGTTGCAATAGAGTTACGATAATTAACAAAGAACAGCAACAATGGTAAAAGTAGAAGAAGAAAAACATATTTAGTCGATAATTGTAAGAAATTATGGAAGTTGACAATCAGAAACACAAATGCATTTAGTTACTTTTCTTGGCCCCATTTAATACCAGTGTTAAGACTCCTTTGAATGAGTTATGTAGAAATGAAGTAGGTCAAGTGAGATTCTGTCAATGACTACTCTGAATGAAATTATTTCAACAATTAATATGATTTCACAAGAAATAACCTTTGGAAACAAAACGAAGCTACTGAAAATGATTTCACTTATTTCAACTAGCATGCATCTGTTGTGTTGCGAACTTATGTTGCTGATGAAAATATAACTAAACATGACTCGCCAATCTAACTTATATAAAAAAAAAACTATAAATTATGTTAAACTGGGCTCAGGATTCGTGTGTGAAACGAAAGGGGAGAGACTAGCTACAGCCTACAAGCTGTGAAAGAACCAAATTATTGACATTTACTCAATTCATTCATTCATTCTTAGCGTACAAGTTACTACTACAAGCATATGGTTAGGCAAAGTCTCGATTCTGGAAGCCAACTTCTTTAATTAGGATTAATTAGTCAAGATGAATTCGTTAATCCTTTTAATTTCCGTGTCCCGGCCAATGATCGATCATGACCAGCTGCAGGGGTTGCTTCCGAGGATACAACAACATGTTTGTTTGACCACGTTACCATTTTGCCAAGATCAATTAATCACAAATTTAATTTGGTCCTCCCAATTATATTAGATTAGATGCAGCTAGTCCGACACGTGCCATAGACTAAACTTACACATATAGTCAACGCAAGAGGGCTTTTTTTTTAGAACGTAAGGGCTCTGGTTTTCGTAGTAATTAATTTTGATTTAGTATATGGATTGATTCGTAATGGAGAATATATATATATATATATATATATATATATATGGGTGGTTCTATCGTACCTTGGGTAAAATCAAGGGTACGACATACATTGAGTAAGAAAATGATATATAGACCTCGAATTAAGCATAGTTTGGCATATGATATTATTCCCAAACCCTTAAGGATTAAAATCTAGGTCTTAGTTCTATAAATCTCATACACTAAGATCAATTTAATTAGAAACAAAAATCAACGGCTATGATTTGTCGAAATATATACAACAAATTACAAGCACAATCTTAGGGATTATGCTCTTTGATTTAGAAAACTAAGACCTAGGGTTCACTCATCAAGGTTTAGGGTATAGTAGCATGCCCAAAAATTCGGTTAATTTGAGGTTTAGATAGTATTTTTCTTACTCAGGGTATGTCGTACCCTACATTTTACCCAAGGTACGATAGAAACCACCATATATATATATGGTGGCGTCTTTAATGCACTCACTTTTTTGGGTGCATTCAGTGCACTCGCTTCATAATTGTCATTTTAAACATGAGATTTATGTCAAAATGATGTCAATCATCACTTATGTTGTGATGAACAATAACGCACATGAATTTGCACAAAAACCATGAAAGAATTGCTTTAATTTGAAGGATTTAGAGTTTAAAGATCTAGGGTTAGAGTTAGGGTTTACAGTTTGGGGTTTAGGGATAGAACTCAAAATTGGAGGTCTAGGGCTTAGGGTAATCCGCTAATTAGTTGTTATTATATGTTATATCATTATATTATACTAATTCTACAAATTAAAATTCAATATCCAACTCCTTAAGACTAGTTTTTGAGTTGGGTGCATTGAACGCACTCATTATTGTGAGTGCGCCGAAGTAGTCACCATATATATATATATATATGGTTATGTCTTCGGTGCACTCACTTTTTTGGGTGCATTCAATGTACCCGCCTCATAATCGTCATTCTGAGCAGACGATTCATGTGAAAACGATGTCAATCATCCCTTGTAGTATGATGAACAAGAACCACATGAATTTGTACAAAAATCATTCAAGATTCACTTTAATTTGAATGATTCAGGGTTTAGGAATTTAGAGTTAGGGTTAGGGTTTACAATTTGGGATTTTGGGTTTAGATTCAAAATTGAATGTTAATAGGTTAGGGTAATGGGTTGATTAGCTGTGTTATATCATCATATGAGACTAATGCTACCCATTAAATTTCAAAATTTGATGTATTATAACCACTTTTAGAGGTGGGTGCACTGAATGCACCCAAAAAAATGAGTGGCAGATCCTGTTTTCCACACCGAGACATGTTATGGTGTTCCTAGAGTCAGGAGATCCTAATGGAAGGTACGAAGAGCTCAAGTGGTTCGGGTTATAAGAAAAAAT